GCCCCGGAACGTATCCCAAAGGAACGAAGGCGGGAGGGCTAAACGAGTCCTTGAAGCCAGCAGACGGATGTCGCAAGGATTCACGACGACGATGTGGACCTTGGAAATCATACGGTATGACCCCGGGATCAGCGTACGAAGGATATGGTGCATTCAGGTTCGGAGAAGCAGCGCCAAAAGGATCATAAGTGACCCAACCCTGACTTGATTCGTGCTGTGTCGAAGCCAAAAGGCCTTTGAACTCCGCGGCCTCGTGTTCGTCCCACCACATGTTCCCTCGCTCATCACGATAGGCCTCACCTAGAGGCAGACGCGTCTCCGTCGTTGGCTTCAATTTTCTTCGTCGTTGATCATGACCACGACGATCCGAACCGTGGTGGTGATCTGAATGGTGGTGGTGATGAGTCCGACCGGTAGGAGCGTTATCCCGGGCCTGCTGTTCCATTATGCGTTTAGCATTCCGCTCGATAGAGCCTCCGCCCACGAATTGCATCATGAGAAGTTCCGAGGCAAGACTCGGAGGCAGCTGTTGAGCAGCTGGTTTCGAGGATTTCGATTCTGATTTTGATTTCGAGGATCGTCGAGTGAAAGACATCATATGAGGGAGGTGAACAGAATTTGAATCAGTACAATGGATTTTACGATGTAGAGCGAAACGAGGTCAGGATACTCCCTTTATACATTCCCAGTCTCCAGGTGGCAGAAAGGAAAACTCAAAGGACGTACAAAGGGAATAGATCTGCCAGAAAAAAGACAATAAAGCAAGACCGCTAACGAAAAAGGCTTTCACTCAAACAACAAAGGAAGTCATTTTCCCAGAGAAATGAGGCGGAACGACGGAGTGTGATAAGTGAGAGAAAGACAATAAGAGTTGGTGTAATTCATTATAAAGAAAAGACAAAAGAACGAGCGCTTCTACAGGCGCCTAAGGATCAGTCTGAAATGTAATCAGTAAGTCTTTGTCCAAAGGAAAAGTAGAATGAGTCTGACATAGAACATTCATCGAACACCAACACACCAGCTAAATTTTCCCGTATCCACCGGTCTCTAAGAAATCCTTCATTCTCCCAACAATCACCTCTAAAGCCTGTAACCATTTGTTCAACTCCGGGTCGAACTTGTCTGAGGGCTCCCCACATGAGATGACATGATAAAAATCGCGTCGATGAGGAACGGCTCGAATGGCCACCTAAAATTCGGTCGAAAAGAGGCCTGGTAAGCAAAGCAGTATCATTGCTCACTGTTACAACACTCCGAACGACCCAAGCATGATGTTGCTTCAGCACAACGTCATACGCACTCTTGAAGCACACATGAAGTTCATCACTCGGGTGTTCTTGCATTCGTTTGAGAGCATGCTGTATGAGAGCGAGGCCGCTGATATTGAATAGTCAGATGAGATTAAATCAACAGGGAAAGAAGAGAAAAGGAAAGCGGGATGTAAGGTGGGGCACATTTCCCTATCCGTCGAAGGTGAAAGGATGCAACAAAAATTGAGATGTAGGATGGTATCTCCGCATATACAAATAGATCAAGATGAGGAAAGGTAGCTGCAGCAACCAAATTTGTGCAAAAGTACGCACCGTACAAGGCGAACCATACATGCCGTCCCATGTCTGTGGTCTCCATGAATGCCTTCAGATTTCACAAGTTCTTCCAATGTCCGAGAAGAATCTTGGTATGTTTGGTAGCGTGTACGAACACCCTACAAAGATGAAGTGAAAAGATAGTGTTCGAATTTTCGGAGAGGCAGCTGTAACGTCAACTCACGCCGATGTTGCCTCTGATATCACTCTGAATAAAGCCAAATATCTTTGACCCAAAGAGATCTGGAAAGAGACGCGTAATCAGGTAACAGAGACCGTAAGCCAGTGATAGTAAGAGCTCACCAAACATCGTTACCACTCCTTCCGTGGCCTCTAGAAAGTCCACTGTATCTACACCCTCAGGGGAAATTTGAACATCGTTAAAAGACTAAAAGAAGAATATTACTGAGGTCAAGCCGCTGCTTGAGCGAATCAAATGAAAAACTTTTAAACACCAACCTTGATTGTCTGGAACAATGGAGCCATTGGCGCAGTCGATTCAACCAGAAGAACTGTAGTTTCGTGGCCTAGAAGAACGAGATTCTCTAAGCGGTAGCAGAAAATTGAAGGGTCGTTTCAGCCTGCGATGTATGATCCAAGTCCCTTCGACATGAAGCTGCGAACCGCGTGCTAACAACGCGGGAGGTGGTCATAACTACAGACGAGGTTGCTCGGCTCGGCGGTCGGGCCGGATCTTATGTCTTTTAATTTACACTCGTGTTATCCGAAACTATTTGTTCAACACCTGCAAGACTGACTCTACGCCAGTGGTACACCCTGATCTTCAACCGGGGGTGCTCTTCCATTTCCGACCATAACCCTCGTCCCAGTACTAGTGACATCGTCTACCGTCACAAATATATATGCTGCGTTCAACAGTTCTGTTGTTAATAGTCTCGTTTCTCTCCGACCAGCATTGATAACATACCTGGACCTGGAGGATAAACACGATTATTGGGTGGGCTTGTTACTGTAAGGAACTTCTTGTCGTCTGAAAGCCCGCCATCCATAAAAACTAACCGCGAGCTAGAATGGAATGCATGGGAGGAGTATCCCATGTCCATCAAAGCCACTGCGTCATGTCAGGGTGCGATTCCATGGAATTCAAGTTTTCTTGGTGCTCAAGCGCTCACCTTTCACATCATTCGTACTCAGATTCTCGGGAATGTCGATACCAAAGGTAACCTTTTGATTGAAATCGATTTGTTCTGGGATTCCGCTTAGAGAAGGTCTTTCGCGAGACATGAACGGAGGATTGAGAAACTCCACTTGGAATTCACTGGTAAGTATAAACCATCTGTAAGTTCGTCACGGAGATGCATAAATCAACGAACGTGTTGAATGTAGCATTTTCGACTACACCTGGATTCGGGTTGGATCCTGCAATGAATATGTTCCTACCAGAAGGAAGCTAAAGGACGCTACTGAATTCGGTAAGGAAAGGAATTAACACACCCGCTGGGCGTAAGTGTGAGACCGGAGTGATATAAACGTGGAATGTTGGTTTTAGGCAGTCCTTCTGTAGTGAATCGACTCCCAAGAGGTGAGTCTGGGTCATACAGCACTGGCGTAAAGCTAAATTCGATGTGTCAGATCTGCAATTTCTAGTCCGACAAGCCATCGAACGTACTCACACTGGATGATCAGCATTTGAATTGCCTATGGTATCGTTGACTGAGTCATATGCGGCGTATCCTGTCCCAGCACCATTGATAATAAGGACCTGACCGTTAGGCATCAATACCATTTCAGGCATCATCCTTCCCTCAGGCATTTTCTCCACAATCCAACCTTTCTCAATGCCTTTTGCAGTGAGAGTAATCCGCGTGCATTGGTCTGAAGCAGGGTCTTGAGATGAGAGGTCTTCAGAAGGCGTTGAATCTGAGGTGTTGCTTCCGCCGCAGACGAGTACTTCTGGGATGTAATCTGGTGGTGAAAGTGGAAGAAGCGTCGCAGTTCCATCTTTCGGATTCGTGACGTGAACACCATTCGGTAGCGAAGGTAGGACAGTTTCAGTCTGGGCTTCAATATCGTATATGACGGATTGATTATTAGCAACAACGAATATTTTTCCGTCAGGGAGGGCAAACGCTCTGAATTTGGTCTTCATATCTTGGAAATCGAAGATCAGGTATATAATGCTCACCGAGGAAACAGGTTTGTAGGCACCGTCCTCGCCAAAAATGGTGAAAAGCGAGTTTGACCATTGTCCTTTGGAGGGAAGAACTCGAAGGTGTTTTCTGGGTCAGTGTTGTAAAATGGCGTCTGCTCGTGAGTTCCTCCAAGGATCATCTACAAAACCAACGATGAAGATTTTCTGCAAAATCGAATGACTGTAAACTGACCAGCGAGCCATCGAATATGCGGAGTGAAGAGGGATACCATCGGTATGCAGCTAAATGTAGCGTCGCCGGGTCTTCGAACAGAGTACAGTCTAGCCCAGAGGGGTCATTGCAAGGCTCAAATATTCTGATGCCCATTCGACCATCTGCATCTGGAGGCACAGTCACGTTCGGCGGAAACTCGACAGCCTGCCCCCCAACGCTGACCTAAGATAGCTTGATCACTCAAACAACCAGGTTTCAAGCATGATTTTTGACGTACCATTGTTCCGTTACTAATGAATGCTCCAGATGCACAAAAGGTATTGGTGATCGCGTTCAAAGCAAACCCAGTGTTTGTCTCGAGATTCCAAAGCTCAACCCAAGCTTGGTGTCCGTTTATCTGAAGAGGGTCGCCAAGGACTCTGTCCAGCATTAAGATTAAGGTAGGAGAAACTAGGATCACTTGAGAGGCAGTAATGCCTGTTGTGCCATTGCGGACAAAACTCCACTCTCCCTTAGCTGCCGATATATCACTCGCCTCAGTAAGGAGAGATGGGATTGTGAGTAGGACCGAAGACAATAGTAGCCTTGCGAATTGCATCCTGCGAATGCGAAATGTGAGATTCCAAAAAAACTGTCATTTTTCTGTATCGTATTAATACACATTCTGAGGAAGCCTTTAAAATACTAAGTAGGTTTCTTTATGCTGACTGCACCTGCTTCAAGGTGTGAGTAGGAGTTGTCGAAATCAGGCTCTCAGTGACACGAGACCTTGTCAGCTGGCGGTAGCAGGTCCCAGGAAAGTACGTTGGCTCTCAGACTCCTATAACGAAGATCCAATTTGTCTCGCGGGTAAGTAGGGTTCAGAGGCAGTGTCATCGCCTGTATGGGATTAACGGTCTGAAGTTGACCCACATTGTTTTTCCTTAGCTCAGGAGCTCAAAAGATTACTAATCCAAGCTTCAGCTGCCAGACCAAAATAGGGTGCAAATTCTCAATCAAAAAGGAGGCAACGAAGAAAGTATACGCCAGGAGCCACACTATCATCATTCAGGAAGACTAAGCAACACAAAAAACAACCTCCGAACAATGGACAAGTCCGGATTTGAACCGGAGACCTTTCGCAATACTGATTGATTTTCATGCAAAGCGAACGCGATAACCCCTACGCTACATGCCCATGTTAACTAAATTTTATTGTACCCATCAATCATTACGACGTCTCTAGAAAGAAGATCCTTTGACGGTCTTTATCCACTGAGCATCAGCCTCTGGATACTCCCAGCTCATCACACCGCCGTCTACATGGCAGACAAGAACACACCGACATCCATCAGAACGTTCTAATCATGAAAATTTTGTAATTAAACGACTCACTCCATTTGTTTCCCTTTGCAGTGGCCACACACTTTGCCAAATCCGCTGGAGCCATGTACCCAGTTGTCGCATCAGCTTGTCCACCAGGCTTACCGATGACGACTTTGTCTGCTGTGACGCCGCCTTTCATAATTTCGAACACGGCTGAGCCCGGGTACATCTTGGATGAAGTGAGGAGGCCGTCGCAGGTTGTGTATTCGGTTCCTTCTGTGAAATGCGAAACAAGGGAGGGAGAGTAGGTAAGTTCGCAGGTATTAGAGGATGCAAAAGAATGGGCGTACGGTTATAATACTACAGCACAGGTGGTATATAAACATTTTCTTATTCATTCGGAAGACAGTCAACTCAAAATTCACCTGAATATTATACTGTGGCACAACGTCAGCTGCCGCAATACGACTTGTTGACGAATTACGCACCCAATCAATCTTACTTCCGACCTCCTTGTGAACCTTTGTGTAGGCGCCAGTTTTGTAATGGGATGCACTGAACCATGGTGCGAGAGCTACAAAGAATGTAAGTCAATCGATATAGCAGCCTCAGAGAGCAACATACGAGCATGCGTCAAGATATATTTGCCTTGAGGAAGTTGAGTTCGAAGCGCATTAGTGAAATCAATCAGCCATTGCTCAGCCTTCCCATCTTGAGCATTCATAGCGTTGAGATCTTCGTAGTCGACGTCTATGAACCAGGCCAAATTTAATTCGCAAGGTGGATAATGAGATGCGGAGGAAAATCACCCACCGATCCCATCTACATCATTATCCTGAACCCATTTCGCCATTGTTGCTGCAGTACTTTTCGCGTCTTTCGATGTAGGCAAATCAGTCGAACCAAATGCCGAAACGATGAGCTTGATGCCGGCTTTCTGATATGAGCTCTTGGTACTGGATTTCTGGTCTTTGGGTAGGGTTTCCCAAGCTTTCGCTTGGTCAGCGGCCCCAGTGGTCAGAAGGAAGGACATTGCACTGTCCGAAAAAAAAGAAACTGGAAGGTGAGTTCAAGAGTAACAGGTATGAGTACGAGTACTCACACAGTATTGAAGCCCTGTTCGGACACAGAACATGAGTTAAGCATTAGCAGGTACGTCGAACGAGACTGAAAACTTACCGAAATCTTCGACACATCGGGTGCAGGTTCTGATCCTTTATCCGTATAAACGACGAAGTGCGGCGCTGCGGGAGCAGAAGCTCTGGCTTGATGAGACAGAGGGGCTGCCCAAACGCCATTGAGGCAGCAGGACATGGTTAGGGCTAGAACGCCGACTGTCATGAATACGTTGGATCCGGGCATGGCGATGCAAGAGTGTAGTGTAGTGCAGTAAAATAGAGCAAGATAGGTATTGGAATATTGGACCAGCCAATTAGTGAATGCAAGCAGTCGAGGAAGAGAGTCGGGTGAATCCAGTCACGCTGAGGGAAGTCAGAGGTAGCATCTACTGTTTTATATAACTTAGCTCAGGCTATGAGGAATAGTATGACTTCGAAGTATCAGGATGTACTGCTCTGAAGGCGATATCCCGTTGTTCATGGAGTATCCGTATCCAGGCAAAAGTTCCGATGCTAGTCCTAGTAATACTGCGAAAGGTAAATGCATCTTCCGTTCCACGGGACGTAAGTTGTTAGAGAGTCATGCAGTGCAGTTCGGCATTGTCGTACTTGATCATATATCTGGTCAAAGGGATAGTCGTATTTTTAATCTCTTGGCCCTTTTTCAAACATGAGATTTCAACATACTCTTATTGTCATACAGAGGGGTTTAGACCCGCACGTTAAAGATTACATGATAGAAACAGCTTAAGGTAGATGGCAGAGGGCTTGAATGAGATTGATGTTCGAAGATATCCGTCTGACGGTTGATACATGGCATATCCCGGAGAGAGAATGACATCCTATGTTCACTTTTCAGATTCAATGTTCTCTGGCGTCAGGCTGTTACCACGTACCGATCTTGCACATATTGCTTTTGAGCGGTGGCTACCAACTATGGCCCGAAACTAGGGAGTCTCAACTATAGATCCGCGAGTGTCGTCAAACTCAGTCGGCAAGGAATTCTAAGTCTAAGTCCATGCTGAGACAGTCATGCCATTTAGCTACTTTTGGTTGTTTTCAGTGAACTGTTATTTACCGTATGAGCAGTCAAACCCCGAAAGGTAGTGGAGAATATCGATGATATGATGACGAGAATTGAATGATGAGTATTCGGGAGCAGAGCCAGCGGAAACGTTTCTACATAAAGTTATGAAAATCCATCCTCCTCGGTTTAAAATCTTTGGTTCTGAAATAGCATCGAACGTAGGGCGTAGCTCAGAAGTGCTTTTAATGGGAATCGATGGTTCAAAATTAGTGGTAGGCCGACATTGACTAAAACCTGTTTGCATCGTTGAATGTGCAACTCCCAGTGTAGGACCTTGTATCGGAATAATGAGCCGGATTTGTGCACGTGCTAGGGTGAGGTCATCAAACCCTTCATAGGCGGTGACTGGGAACTCAAGCTACTCCAGGGTTACCATTAAGGGCCCGCTTCGTTTCGTTCAAGGCCACATCATACAATGACCAGCAGATTAAAGCGAAAGCTGGGCGACATCGGTGTCGATCCCTCCAGTGCAAGAGCTAATGAAAATTTCTGTCTAGTGAGTACCAATACTCGGATTGCTGTCGTATAATTTGACACTTTATCTGCGTACAGATTGGTACACCTCTCCCACCGCTTGAAAAATCCCGCGACACAGGAGAATTCGTTCCGCTATGGAAACAGGAAGTTCGGGATGAGAAGGGTAGACGAAGACTTCACGGGGCATTTACAGGTGGATTTAGTGCTGGTTACTTCAACACTGTGGGCTCGAAAGAGGGTCAGGACTTTCACTGTTCTGTGTAGCAAAAAACTGAACAGAATTGCTACAGGATGGACTCCACAAACATTCGTCTCATCGCGCGCTGACCGTGCAAAGAAGAAAGCAGCGAGACCGGAGGACTTCATGGACGATGAAGATTTGCAAGATATCAGAGATAGTCGGAAGATTGTTGATACGACGGACGAGATGGATTTCACGACTGAGAAGCAAGCAGAGAGCCAGAACGATACGGACGCTGAGTGTGTACACGACATTAAATCAATTTTGTTCCTAGAGTTGCTCAGCTTGCCATCTAGCCCTCTCACTGCTACTCTCCAATCCGCAATGTTACCGCCTTCGAAAGACTCCATTGGAGCTCGTATACTCAAAAAGATGGGCTGGCGTGTCGGACAAGGAATTGGTCCTCGTATCTCGCTCAAACAAAGGCGGCTACAAGATTTACGAGCATCCTCGATGACCGACTCAGCCTTGTCTACAAATGCCCCGGATACTGCCCTTGAGGAAGACTCGGATGAAGCAAATAAACATACTTACGCTCCCCGAGATACACCGGTACTCGTTGTGGAACGAAAGGACAACAGTCATGGATTGGGCTATCAACCAGGCATGAGTTTAAATGATAGTCTCGGCACCAAGGGTGGTGGTGGCACAAGCACTGCACCCAACATCTCTTGTAAGTTTTGTAGGTTTCGTGTAGCCATGGCACCAATCCTGATGTATCTTCTTCCTGCAAAGCTGGATTCGGTCTCGGAGCACTCAATGACGCTGACGAAGATGATCTCGACGTTTATGATGGTGGCTCCGTCAATACTCGAAGTCGCCTTGCGTACGATGCCACCGACGACCATGACGGAGAACGATTTGCACTTGGTAGTTCAAATCTAGTAGGTAATTCGCCTTTTCAGACGTGCGGTTTTGATTTTCAGTCTTATCCCGTCTGTAGAGATCTGCCTCGGGTCACAATTTACCTTCCAGTGGAAAGTACCGCGATGGGACTGCTGTATTATCTGGATTCGTCTTGTCGGGTAAACCCATCATGGAGGATCGATGGCGAGTATCCTGGCGTATTGAGTGCACTATCAACTGACCTATTTGGTTTAGGTATCCCTTACCTGATATAACACCTGGATGGAAACCTGACCCGAAACGTGTATGGTCCCAAATTCAGTCCCAAGAGCAAATTCCGGATTCGAATAAGGAGAACTTCAAGGGTGATCCTACTACGGTTCTGCCGCATGGCAAGTGGAAAATGAGTGGATTTTCTGCAGACGAAGTATGCTATCTAGTTTTCTGGTCTCTTCCTGAGAGATCGACCTGACTGTTCAACAGCGAGGGTCGATATTGGGCGAAACTCCTCTTCCGTCTGCACCTCGTTCAGTCTTCGACTACATGTCCCAAAAGGATCGCGACAGGCTGAAGAATATCGCTGCGTCGCTACATTCTCCTTCGACAGCAGGAATATCTGACAAACAACCCTCTCCCACTCTTGGACCAATTCCTGCAACTCCCCGGATCCCCCGCACTGATCCTCGAATTGCGCATGCTGCTCTCAGCGGATTCAAGCCATTTGCCACCGACCCGGTCAAACAAGCACGATATACAGCGTATCTACAATCACAAGCTGATTCCTCATCCACGGTCACGCTTGAGCCTCTCCCTCACCAGTCGATATCTGAGTTCAACTCTGAGATGGAAGAGTATGCACAGAGCGCAATCGTCTTCAAGCCAATGAGCGGAGCAATGGCAGGGCGGTTCACCACTGCAGCCGTGGTTGAGCACGGGCCGAAGGTGATAGAGGGTTTGCATACCCCCGAGTTTAACGATGGACCTTCGCAGGACAATGCTGCGAGCTCGGATGCGGAGAACAAAGCTAAGGATGAAAAGGAGCTTTCTCCAAAGGAGAATGCCGCGCGAATGGGCATGTATGGACCACTCACGAGGGAGTCTGT